TAAGCATATATCCGAAATCTTTGCCGCAAATATGTTTAGAGAATTTAATTCAAAGCTTCCCTATGCCAATTCATTAGTCCCAGTTCTTTTAATATGCAAGCTGGACTTAACGGACTTTGTTTAGGGATCGGAATCGCCAGCTAATTTTTATGTGATCAATGAGTAAGCAGGCTATCGAAATTTAGGTGTCCACAATATATATCTGGGAGATCTTCATATTCCCAATTGTGCATGTTTTGATTGATCATACTTGATTTGATTACCTTATATAGTCATCAATAGGCTTATGGACTTTTCATTAGATACATCTGATACACACAAATTCCACACAAATTCAACAATTCTCTGTTCCACATATTTCTTATCTTTGTTTTTATTCGTATTGATGAATGTGCATTTAAAATGCAAATGCAAAGAAGAATCTTGCAGTGCTTTATATAAAATATTGCATGACTAACATACCTATTTCACTTTAAAACTCAATGATTTAATTTTAGTAGAGCAAAAATTCTCGTATGAAAGTGTGAAGTCAACGTGTACAAAGGCTCTGACAAAAAAAAAACATGTACAGTGGCAATAATAAAATGGTTCGTCATACTTTTCCTTTCAATGATAAGAGGGTTCAGTATCTGTTTATCAGCGGCAATATTAAGCATGGGAGACGAATCTTGGGTTATGGAGAAATACACGTTATATACTTGTCCTCTCCTCTTTAACTTACGACCACAAGTGGTAAAACGGTCAGGAAGAACTCCAGCTCCTCCTCCTTCCCTTTATGAAAGTCACCGCCCACCTTGAACTCTGTCCTCGTTTCTTGTTTTATTCTCTTTTCTTCGGTCCTGGAGCTTATTGTCCATTGATCCTTTTATGCTCAGCTGGTTCTTTCCCTTCGTTCTTTGTCCAATCAAGTCAGCCGAAGCTGCTCCAGTAAAATTTACAGTTGCCTCCTTGTTCCTTGAAGCTCAGCCGCCGGTCTCTTGAAGTTTCTGCTGGTTCTTGCATTTCCGCTGGTCGTTTGAATGGTCCAAACGTGGGCATGACTTCCTTGAGCTGTCATAATTAATGACTTCACGAAGGGGACTTCTTTGTCCAAGTCAAAGAGTGCAGTTTTAATACAATGGTTTGTGGAATGGATAAGGACCATGGAGATTGTTTTCTTGGTTCAAGAGAGGGGGAAATGGCCGGTCACAACTTATACCCATCTAATCAATTTAGTTCAATTTCAATGTTCCATTCTTACCTCATTTAGTATCCCCAAATAGTCTCGCTTGCAAGTTCAATTTTTCCCATTAAATCACCAATCTATGAGGGTAAAGTTACAAGGTTAGCAACATGAAAATGTGAGGGCAACGATTAATTTTGACGAATTTTAAAATGAACAATGAGAGAGCACAAAAAAAAAGCGACGTGAATCCGAGCCATACGATAACGAGATTTTTGTTTAGGAGTCGAATTATGTCGTTACCGACGAATCCGATTCCTAATTTTTATAAAATGCATGGATGACCTACACGAGGGAAACTAGTTATCTATAACCATAATGCTTCTACTCCTAAATGCATAAGGTGCACGTAGGCAAAAATTTAAGTGTCAACAATACTTAATTACATTTACGCACTCACCTTCATTTTATGCATCCAGATATGGAGACATACACTAATTCCAAGTTTAATACAATAACCATCATGTGCTTCAATTTATTCTTGAATTTGAAATTTTATCACTAATCATGATTAGCGACGGATGATAAATGAAACAGCGTATCATGTTATGTATTACAGCTTATTGCAAGTGAGGTTCTACCTACCACGTATTACGTGACAATAACACGTGGTGTGTAACATGCCAATACATAGTGAGTGATTTCAAAATTTAAGTGCCACGTAAGATGAAATGCATGCCAGGCGGACAATATGATTAGTCGGTGACATACAACAGCCGTACAGACGCCTAAAACGCTTTCTTGTACAATTTTTCAGATCCGCTCGGCACATGCAAATTAAGCGATGAGACCTCATTCTTCCCTGGCAACGTTTAAACACAAGTGTACATCCATTCAATTTGGGCATATTAAAGGCATACATGATGAGCTTTTAGTCTCATTGAATAACACTTGTATGCGATAGCATTTGGTAGTAATGGACACTAACAATAACTTAGGATTTAAACTTGCATCCGCAACTAAATTATCGCTTCACCATTCGGCCCACCATTTGATTATGCTCTTGCCAATCACAAGAAGCTAGATATTATTATCCATCGTCCGATACGTCTCCATGTTCCGTCCCATTAGCTCAAACAACCCTTAATTCTTGAGGAATTCCATGATGTGGTCGTAGGTGATACACGCAACGTGGAAACCCTTGAATCCCGCGGCCTTGGCCAATGCCTCAAACTCCTTCTCCGTCCGCTCTTTCCCGGCCACCCATGCCATCATGATCAGGTGAGAACGAAAGGCTAACTTGGCCACGAAGCTCGTGTCCGGGAGTTCGGGAAGGATGTACTCGACCACTATGGCCTTCCCGTCTTCCGGTAGCGCGTTGTAGCAATTCTTCAATAACTTCAAGCAATGCTCGTCACTCCAATCGTGACATATCAACTGCATGCCACAACCGAATTGATTAATATAGCAAATTACAAATAAGAGTTATTATCATTCACGTTCAAAGTAATCGGCAAATGAGAGTGGTAATACAAGTTGGACTAACCTTCATGAAAATTGCGTCTCCTGTAGGAACATTAACGAACATATCTCCTCCGACACGCTCGATGCCTAACGCGAAGATCGTAGTAGTTTATTCGAGGAAGTCAAACTTGATTAGCATAGGAAATGAGCTTTTCCGTTATATATTTCCATAAACGCATCAACCATAATATTGTTTCTGAAGCAATTCTAGTTCTAACCGTGCATGCAATATAATTAACATGAGGTGATATAGAGAGATTGTAGGATAACATATAAGTACCTGGATAGGATGCAGCATTGGCGATGACGTGAGGCAAATCAAAGTTGATGCCCTTAACATAGGGCTACTTGGAGACGATCATGTTGAGGACGGCGCCGGTTCCACAGCAAATGTCGACCACCGACTTGAGGCCCTCGAAGCCTTTGTATGTCTCAAGGACCTTCTTCATGGTGATGGTCGAAATACCGGACATGGCTTCGTTGAATAGTTTGTTGAGTCTCGGATTGGTACCGAAGGGGGTAAGAACAGCATTGGTGCCAAAACTTGTGTACGGAGGCCACTTTGGTGCCAAAACTTCCATTTGGATCACTTTAGTGCTAAAAAATTTGAAAAACGATCTTTTAAGTGCCAACTCCGATTTGATTGGTCGGAAATCTGACGTGGCAATTTTTTATTAGTATTTGAAGCCGACATGGCTCGCCGGAGAGTACAGTCAGCATGCAAAGATTAAAACGATGCCGTTTTATTCACCATACGTACACGGCGCCGTTTTATTTAGCTTCTTCTCCCCAAAATAAGAACCCTAATCCCCAAATTGAAAGATGGAGGGCGGAAGCTCAGCAGCGGCTCACATTCAGGATACCTAACCCGCGAAAAGCAGAACCTTAAATCCCCAATTATCAGCTCGCGCTTGCAGATGGAGAGCGGCAGCTCGCGCTTGCAGATGGAAGGCGGAAACTTCAGCAGCGGCTCACATTCGATTAAAGAAAGCGAATTAGATGGTGAGTGTTACTGTTTTTGTGGGTTACCGAGTCCGAGAAGAACATCTTGGACTCAGTTAAATCCCAGGAGAAGATTCCATGGATACAGCAGGTATAGAGAAGGCTCAAAGTACAAATATTTCAAATGGGTTGATGCCAAATTCTCCGGTCAAGCCACAGAAGTGATCTTGCAGCTACTTGAAGGACGACATCAACCTCCACCTACATTAATGGACGAGTTAGATGATGTCGACTCAATGCAAGCTCAAATGAAGGGTTTAACATCTTTAATCGACCATTTGAAGAGGGAAGTTTCAAGGCTGAAAATTGAAAGAAACTTTTATCGAGCATTGATTGTGTTGTTGTTCACTTGTGTAGTATATTCAAATTTGAAGTGAGTAATGAGAAGAAGTTTGTATGTCTACCATAATCGAAGATGTGGAATATTTACTTGTATTGGGTCATTTGTAAGTAAAGTGTGTTACTGGTTTGCTGCAAATTGTATGGAACAAAAGGTTTTGTTCCAATCTATGGTGGAAATGGAAGGTTGGAGTTGGAATTCATTGGTTGTGAGCACTTCAAATTTTTTTTGCTTGGTTCTGTATTGTATATATTGGTTTGCTTGGTTTTTGCATCAGATGTAATGGTTTGCTGCAACCATTACTGCAAACCATGAAGAAATTAAGGGGTGGTGACAATTCACGAATAACTATTTCAGTGCCATAAGTTGTAAATAGTGATCGTTTCAGTGCCAAGTTTTTCTGAAAGTGATCATTTTAGTGTCAATCGCGATGAAAAAGTGATCACTCGTGTTGCAGGAGTTTAAAAAAAAGAACAAGTCAGTTTCAACTATGTTTCCATTGGCTTGCACCAGTCGTGGTGCATGTTGTTGCACCAGTTGAGTTGCTGGTGCATCTTGTTCTTGCAGCAGCTCATACAAGTGTTGGTGGAAGAAGACACACCAGCACCCAGAGTTGCACCGATAGCTGTGTTGGTGCAACAGGATGCACCAATAGCCACAATTGCACTAGTGCTTTGCTAGTGCATCTTGTTCTTACACCAGTACTTGTATTTGCTAGTGCAGGAAGATGCAGCACCCACAACCTCAACCAGCACGTACATCCAGCACCCACAACTTCAACCAGCAACAATAATCAACCAATAACTTCCAAAAACAACATCAGCCTCATAACAAGGTGCAAGACAAGAAAATAACAAAAACATTGTTGCCATTGACATTGCTTGGTTCTTTAAAAAAATAAACATGTCCATAAAAAAACATCAGCCCCCAATTAGTCAACGATCCCTCCCACCTAATATGTCAAAGCGAACACATAACAACAATGGCAGCAATCCCCATCAATGAAGATACCATGTCCAGCACCCTCCCATTAGTCAATATGCACAACACCCCCGGCTCCTTTTCCTTTTGCACTTTTGAATTGATTCATAATTCGGGCAATCTTTCGAACTGGACGCGTAGGTTCATTAACTGGCATTTCTGTCACATTCTTCTTAGCATCAACAATTTTTTTTGTAGCACGTGTCATGTGTCGGGACCTCTCCGTAGGAACATTGGTCCCATGATCAGTCGGTTGAGAAGGAACTAGTACTGGTTCTGTTGGTTGAGATGGAACTGGTGCAACTTTATTTGTTGGTGGCTGTTTTGAAGCTGTACTCCCTGTCTTCTTCTTCTTCTTTGTGCTCTTCTTTGGCTGCGCCATTGACTCTTGAGTTGGCCCACCTTGAGAGATAAGCACCTCCGACCTTCTTCCAGGCTACAAGAACATAATTATATTGTTAACCAAATGAATTGAAATACCATAAATTAAATACATGAGTCCTACAAATCTTACATTGAAAATAGTCATTCCAGTACGTTCATCTGTGTAAATCCCATAACCATATTGCCTTATTCTTTTTCCAAGAACCCCTCTTGTTCGCTGTGGTGCATCACTTTGAGCAACTTGTGGGGGAGCAACCTGTGGGGCTCCCTGTCCTTGTGCAACTTGTGCAGTTGGTCATCTTCTCACCTGAGAAACACATAACAAAATTAAACTCAGCCCATAAAAGACAAACACAACAATATATAGCTTACTGGATATTTTTTCCTCATTTGTTCGACAGTGGACTCAGTTGTTGTTGTTGTCGTCTTGCCTGTACTTGTCCCTGCACTTGGGCCTACAACAGGGCCTTTTGTTGGCCCTTCAGTAGGCCCAAGAGCAACCTCTTCAGTAGGTGTTGTTCTTGGCCCACGATCAGCTCTTGCAACAACTTCTTGTTTACGTTGTCTTTTCAACTGACAACCTTTCTTATTGTGCCCTTCCTTGTGGCAATAGGAGCATTTCATCTTCACCCCGGTCTTACTCATCCTCTGACTTGATGTCTCTCCCTCCTGTATTCTTCGTTTTTTCTTTGGCATTCCTATTTGCTTCTTTAGTGGCAAAGGTAGAGGGCCTTCATGATTTGTTGGCTCCCAAAATTTGCTACTTCGGATAAGCTGCATCATGAAATGGTACGAATTAAGGTATGAGCTTTTTTTTTACCAATCATGTAGGTAATCCTCTGGCCTTTCTTGCTTCATCAAAATGGCACAAATAGCATGGGGACAAGGAATTCCACTTAGTTCCCAGGCTCGGCATGAACACTTTCTTCTATCTAGGTTGACCACATACTTATCATTATTGTGAATGATCTCATATCCATTTTCTCCATTCCAAACCGGATGGCAGAACCTACTAGCAGCAACGTTCGCATCCAATTTCTTTACAATTCTAGGACCGCATTCTCTGCTCCACTTGATAGCCTCATCTCTTTGCATGTGCAGTATGGTCATGACCATAACACGAATATCATCAAGCATGCTGATGATTGGCTTGCACCTGGCCTCTAAAATTCTGCCATTGAAAGCTTCACTGAAGTTGTTGTCAATTATATCACATTTAAATTCTTCGCTGAAGAAGGCCCGACACCAGTGCTTAGCTTCTGTCTGGAATAGTGCATCAAAGCCTTCCTTTGTCAGCTGCAACAACCCCTGTTTGGCTAATCTGAATTCAGCCATGTTGGTACTCTTCGCTATCTGCCAAAACTGCTTCTGCAGCATATCCCCTTTGGAGATCTTTGCCCAATTTGCATATATGTGCCTCGCGCGCATTCTATGCTCAGCATATGGCATCAACTCAGCCAATGCAGGAACAAGTCCCTTCAAAAATTCAAATCAACAAATACAAGTCAGAAAATACTCAAGTAATTAATATGAAAAGGGAATTAATTAACAATGGTATTACCTTCTGTTGGTCGCTCATGAATGCCCATCCTCCCCCATCGTTTATGTCAAGGTCAACCATTAAATTCTTGAGAAACCAGGACCAAGTATCCTTGTTCTCAATCTTGACAACTGCCCAAGCTATCGGAAACATTTGATTGTTGGCATCTCTCCCCACAGCAGCCAACAACTCCCCCTTGCATATACCCTTAAGGAAACATCCATCCAATCCTACAACTCTTCTACAACCAGCCAAAAAGCCCCGTTTGCATGCATCAAAACAAACATAAAATCTATCAAACCTAGGCCCACAATCAGGCAGTGGCCTCTCTACAACCTCAGCATATACCCTACTAGATGGGTTTTGAACCACGCATTCGCGGGCATAATCCCATACCTGCGCATATTCTTCCTTGTACCGACCCATCAAAATTTGCATCACCCTCTGCTTAGCTCTCTTGCACTGATTCCTCGACACATTAACTCCTACCTCCTCATTCACTAACTGCTTCAACTGAGGGCATTTGATCTCAGGCATTGCTTTGATTGTATTAAAAAAATGTTTCGCCAATCACACACTTGTTACCCTTTTGTTATCAAAATGAATTGAACAAGTATGTTCCTCCTGGAATGACCTAATCTGAAATGACCCCTTCCTACTCATAGCGCCATACAGCTTCCAACGACAATTGGGTTGTGAGCCCTTAGCTCTCACAAATTCCTTCGTATTTCTAATGAATTCTACGCTCCTCTGTTCAACAATAGAACTCTCCACAATAGCTTCTTTTAATTGTTTTGCATTATCAAATTTCATGTCGACAGACAAAACAGGTTTATCGACATTTGGATCATAGCAAGGGTACTTACTTTTCCTTCGACGAACAGGTTCTTCATTATCATTCTCCGAACCAGCAGTTTCATTGTCGCAACTTGCTGTATCTTCACTTCCATTACCTCCAGCTGGAACTCCATCCAGCTCAAGCCTTTCTCCTAAAGCTGGGAGTTTTTTTCTGAAAAATTCCCTTTGTTTTTGTCTTGATTGTTGGAGTTCATCATCGTCTTCATCACTTAGGAAATTGACAATTGGCAAAGCTTCATCTTCTGACACACTATATTGAGCAACTTCCCATTCTAATCCAACTAAGTCTTCATCAGCAATAGCTGAAACTGAGACTACACCCACATTTCTATCAAAATCTGTCTCCCTCTCCTCCCTCACTTGACTCTCATGTTGCCCTCCATCTAACGTAGACTCATCCCCAACCTGATTACTATCATTTCCATCATCCTCATCAGCCTCATCATCACTATAATATTCAACATAGACCTTAGCTTCATCGCCGTGAAGATAATGGTAAATGATATCCTTAATACCATTATCGTCACTAAAAAATCTCAAACCATCCTTCAATTCCTTCCCAGGAACACAATAGTGCAATTGTTGCACTTTGCATCGAAAAAAATACAACAAATCCCTCACAAAATCAATATATGATGGCTTCCCAACATTGACGTAAATAGTACCTTCGTTTCCACCACAATATTCCCAGTCGTCAGGGCCAATAACAAACTCTCCACCATAGCAAACAATGATGCCTACATGATTCCCCTCCATTTCAATGCTGCACCCAAAGAATAAAAATATTCATTTGGACCACATAGCAGAATCATCAACAACTTTACATTTAATTGATTAAACAATTATCGAAAGAAACAAAGGAAGCCGATTTATTCAATTGATTAAACAACGTAATGTCCCCAACACCCATTTTTCAATTCAACCCCATTCGGTCCCCACAGAAACACTAACTAACTAAATAAAATCTTAGTCCCCACCACTGTCCCCACCACTTTCCCTCTGCGCCGAGCCCTCATTTTCCCCTCCACGCCCTATTTTTCAATTCAGTCACATTCGGTCCCCACAATTTTGCCCTCCCCACAAAAGTGATTAAACAAAAGTGAGGTCCCCACCATTTTTCCCTCCCCATAAAAGCAATCCAAGCCGAGCCCTCATTTTGCCCTCCGTGCCCCAATTTGCTTGCCGGAACCCTAAATTCTCCACCCAATTTACCCACGGCGAGAACATGACAAACCTGAGTGAAGCGGCTGAGCGACGATGGGCCAGAAAACAATGGCGCAGCTACGACGACGGCAGACCGACGGCAGTGGATGACGGCCGAGCGACGGCGGGTGAGCGACGGTGGGCGAGCGACGGAAGGCGATCGAGGGAGCTACGTCGAGCGAGGGAGAACTCAAGATCTGAGCCCTAATTTTAGTCCCCCTTCTTCAGCGACGTCGTTTTTTAAACGCATTCCACGTAGGAAAATAAAGCGACGTCGTTTCTCATGGAGGATGGAAAACGATGTCGTTTATGCAATTCCACGTGGACTGCGATTTAAAATATTTGCCACGTCAACTTATTTTTCTTTAATATAAATGCCACGTATTTTTTTTGCCGGAATCTCTCGCCGTTGGCACCAAAATGATCATTTTTCCTCCGATTTGGCACTAAAGTGATCCAAATGGAAGTTTTGGCACCAAAGTAGCCTCCGTACACAAGTTTTGGCACCAATGCTGTTCTTACCCCGTACCGAAGTAATCGAATGCTGTCATTCCATAGACCTTGTCGAACGGGACTCCTCCTTCAAGAACTGCATCTTTCAAGTGGTACCGGCATTATTTTGCTCAAAATTCGTAGTCAATTCAGCTTTTTTTCTCTCGATGAATATATATAACTTCGACCATGAATCTATTTCGTGATGATTACCGATCAAAGTTAAAATTGACTCTTATGAGTAAGTGATTGCTTAACAATTGCACAATTGATATGCATTTTTCAGGTGACGTACTACATTATTATCATGAAATTAGTTCTACCTACCAAAGTAAGTCAACGCAATTAATAGATTATAGAGAATTAAGTTGGCGTCGCATAATGCTAATAATGTGTAATGTCAGCGACTAGTCACATTTCTTGATGAACAATTCTACGAGGTTTTTCCGTTCCGTTTGTTGTCACCCCAATCTAACAAAACAACCAACAAAAGAAAAAACATCATCAAAAGAAAAGTTTAGCAGACTACATACTCGACCGATCAAATATAGAGAGTTTCTGCTGTCCATGTGTTTTTAATATCAGGATTGATTGAATCTACCGAGTCGGAGTGGAAAAGCACCAAAAAAGTATTAAACCTATTGCAATTATGCCAGTTCAGTCATAAACCTTTCTATCGTGCCAATTTAGTCATAAACATTTTCACATTTTGCAATTAAGTCCATCATGCCAACTTTGGCTGGAAATCGATCACGTAGACACTAGTCATCCTACGTGGCACGACCCTGGGCGAGGGCCAACAAGCCCTCCCAAAGCACTGGCGAGGGTCACAGCCCTCACCCAGGCCCTCACCAGATCTAGGTGAGGGCCACCTTGCCCGTGGCCGACGGGGATGCGAAGGCCCTAGGTGAGGGCCTTCGCGCCCTAGCTCACTGCCGGTGAGGCCACGATGGCCCTAGGCAAGGGCACAAAGGCCCTCGCCAACCGAAAAGGCCTCGCATAGGGCCATCGCGGCCTCACCGGTCATAGGCAAGGGCTTGTTGGCCCTTGCCCGGTGGTTGGCCAAAATGAAAGGAAAAAAATCAATAAACAAATAAACAAAAATTTATAAAAAAATTCAAAATTTTATTAAAATATGTCCACGTCAGCGCAGGCCGTGCCACGTAGGACGGCCAGTGTCCACATCAATGATTTCTGGCCAAAATTGGCCGGATTGACTCAATTTTCAAAATATAAAAAAGTTTAGAATTAAATTGGTACAACTGAAAGGTTTTTAATTGAATTGGTACAATTACAATAGGTTTAGTATTTTTTTAGTATTTTTTCCTGTCGTAGAGCAAAGATTATAACTATTTAGTGCGGGTGCCAAATGATTGGTAGTGCAAAAATATGGAAGAATATAATGCATATGTATATAGTGCCAAAAGGGGCGACCGAAACACCATCCTCGTTCTTGGTCAAGAACTTGCAAACCGAAACAATCCCGTAGAGCCTCTCGGCTCGACCGTCGGGGAGTTCGTGCATGGTGCACGTGACAATGGAGTAGGTCACGAGGAGGCGCAAGATCCGTTCGAGCATTGTGTGTGCATCCGGGGTCTTGGTTGGGAGTTGAGACGCGATCTCACGG